GTGCTGTTTTTTGCACTCCTTTAATTTTAAAAATAATAATTATTAATTAAAAGTATATCACTATTATTAATACAGATGATGCAAGATAAAAGTAATTTTCAGAGACTGAGAAAATGCTTAAACTAGCTGGGGGATTTTTTCAAAGACTAATGGGTCCATTGAACATATGACATCTTTTTATAAGTGGTGTTTCTACAGAGGGAATACCAAGTATCACTCCATCCTTTAATCCTAACTAATTCCTTACTTGATCCTCTGCCTTTATGTCATCCTTTATGTTATCCGTATCTCAAGGATAGCAGTCAGTGATAAGGTGAGGTGTAGTGAGGATGTGGTAGCATAGTGACTAAGGCACTTGACTGCTAACCAGAAGGCTGGCGATTCAAATCCACCAGCCACTCACCACAAGGAAGGTTGGACAATCCTACTTTGATAGTAATGATACTGCCTCGGAAACCCAAGGAGGGGTCGCTATGAGTTGGGGCCGACTTGACGGCACATAACAACAACAGTGAGGATGTATGTTTTATTTAATATTTGAGGGAAACAAGAGCTGAATGAATGACTTTTTAGGCTGTATAATGGGTTGAATTGTGGCCCCACATGTTAAAGTCCTAAATCCCAGTAACTCTGAATATAGCCTTATTTGGAAATAGGATCTTTGTAGATGTAATTATTCAGCATGAGTTCACATTGGAGTAGGGTGAGTCCTACTCCAACATGACTTGTGTCCTTATGTAAATGAGAAGACACACAGATATAGAGAGACAGAAGAATGACAGCCATGTGAAGAAGGGGACAGAGAAAGACTGGAGGGATGCTTACCACAAGACAAGGAATGGTACCAGAAGAGGCAAGGATGGCCTCTGGAAAAGGCAAGGATCTTCCCTTACAGGTTTTTGAGGGAGCACGAGCCTACCAACAACTTGCTTTCTGACTCTTAGACTCTTGTTGTTGTTAGCTGCTGTCAAGTCATCTCCAACTCATGGTGACCCTGTGCACAACAGAACGAAATACTGCCCAGTCCTGTGTCAGCCTTACAATGGCTACTATACCTGAGCCCTTCTCTGCAGCCACCGTGTCAATCCATCTTTTTGAGGGCTTTCCCCCCTTCCATTGACCCTCCACTTTACCAAGCAAGATATCCTTCTCCAGAGAATAGTCCCTTCTGACAACATGACCAAAGTAAGTGAGACAAATCTGACCATTCTTGCTTCCAAGGAGCATTCCAGCAGCACTTCCTCCAGGACAGATTTGGTAGTTCTTTTAGCAGTCCATGTACTTTCAGCATTCTTTGCCAACACCACAATTCAAAAGCATTCTTCAGCATTCCTTATTCATTGTCCAGCTCTCACATGCATATGTTGTTGTTGTTGTTGTTAGGTGCCGTTGAGTCATTTCCGACTCACAGTGACCCCATGCACAGCAGAACAAAACATCACCCGATCCCATACTGTGATCCTTGCTATACTTGAGCCTATTGTCTCAGCCATCTTGTCAATCCATCTCATTGAAGGCCTTCCCCTCTGTCGTTGCCTCTCCACCTTACCAAGCATAACATCCTTCTCCAGGGAATGGTCCCTTCTGACAACATGACCAAAGTAGGTGAGATGAAGTCTGGCCATTCTCGCTTCCAAGGAGCATTTCAGCTGCAATTCCTCCAGGACAGATCTGTTAGTTCTTTTAGCAGTCTATTGTACTTTCAGCATTCTTCACCAGCACCACAACTCAAAAGCATCAACTCTACTTTCGTCTTCCTTATTCATTGTCCAGCTCTCACATGCATACGAGGCGATTGGAAATATTATGGCTTGTGTCAGGTGCACCTTGGTCCTCAAGGAGACATCCTTGCTCCTCAGCACTTGAAAGAGTTCCTTTGCAGCTGACCTGCCCAGTGCTATACATCATCTAATGTCCTGACTGCTGCTTCCATTGACGTCAATTGTAGAACCAAGCAATGTGAATTCTTTGACAATCTCAATCTTTTCTCCATTTATTGTGATGCTGCTTATTGGTTCAGTTGTGAGGATTTTTGTTTTCTTTATATTGATATGTAATGAGGTGCATGCATATGAGGTGATTGAAAATGTCATGGCTTGTGTCAGGTGCATCTTAGTCTTCAAGGAGACATCTTTGCTCTTCAGCACTTGAGAGAGGTCTTTTGCAACAGATTTGCACAATGCAAAACATCTTTTGATGTCTTGTCTGCTGCTTCCACTAGCATCAATTATAAACCAAGCAATATGAAGTTTTTGACAATGTCAATCTTTTCTCCATCTATTGTGATGCTGCTTATTGGTCCAGTCATGAGGATTTTGGTTTTCTTTATATTGAGGTATATCCATACTGCAGAGTGCAGTCTTTAATCTTCATCAGTAAGTGCTCCAAGAAAACCTCACTTTCAGCAAGCAGAGTTGTGTCATCTGCGTATTGCAGGTTGTTAATGAGCCCTCCCCTAATCCTGATGCCATGTTCTTCTTCACATAGTTCAGCTTCTTGGATTATCTGTTCAGCATAAACATTGAATAAGTATGGTGAAAGGATACAACTCTGATGCACTGCCTTCTTGATTTTAAACCATGCAATTCCCCCTTGTTCTGTTTGAATGATAGCCTCCTGCTCTATGTACAGATTCCTCATGAGTACAATTAAGTGTTCTGGAATTCCCATTCTTCTCAATGTTATCCACAATTTGTTATGATCCACACAACTGAATGCCTTTTCATAGTCAATTAAACACAAGTAAACATTTTTCTGGTATTCTTTGCTTTGAGCCAAAATCCATCTGACATTAGCTATGATAGATATGCTTTACACAATGTCCCCTTCTGAATCCAGCTTGGATTTCTGGAAGTTCTCTATCTATATACTGCTGGAACCATTTTTGAATTATCTTCAGTAAGATTTTACTTGCATGTAATCACCTTTCTTTGGAATGGGTACAAATATGGATGTCTTCCATCAGTTGGCCAGGTAGCTGTCTTCCAAATTTCTTGGCATAGCTGAATGAGTGCTTCCAGAGCAGCATCTGTTTGTTGAAATATCTCAACAGGTATTCTGTCAATTCCCAGAATCTTGTTTTTCACCAATTCTTTCAGTGCACCTTTGACTTCTTCCTTCAATACCATTGGTTCTTGATCATATGCCACCTCCTGAAATGGATGATCATCTATCAATTCTTTTTGGTATAGTGACTCTGTGTATTCCATCCATCTTCTTTTGATATTCCCTGCATCATTCAACATATTGCCCATGGAATCTTTCAACATTGGAATTTGAGGCTTAAATTTTTCCTCAGCTTCTTCATCTTGAGAAGAGCTGAGTGTGTTCTTCCTTTCTGGCTTTCCATCTCCAGGTCTTTGCATATTTCATTGCAATTGATCTTTTCTTCTCAAGTCGCTCTTTGAAATTTTTTGTGCAGCTCTTTTATTGTGTCTATTCTTCCATCCACTTTAGCTACTCTCTGTTCAAGGTCAAGTTTCAGAGTCTCTTCTGACACCTATTTCAGTCTTTTCTTCCTTTTCTGTCTCTTTGATGACTTCTTGCTTTCTTCATGGATGATGTTCTTGATGTCGCCCAACAATTCCTCTGGTTTTTGGTCATTGTTATTCAATGCATCCAATCTATTCTTTAGATGGTCTCTAAATTCAGGAAGGGTATATTCAACATCATATTTTGGCTTTCATGGACTTCTTTTAATTGTCTTCAGCTTCAACTTGAAATTGCATATGAACAGTTGATGGTCTGTTCCACAATCAATTCCTGGCCTTTTTTTGGCTGAGGAGATTGAACTTCTCCATCACCTCTTCCCACAGATGTAGACAATCTGATTCCTGTGTACTTCGTCTGGTGAAGTTCACCTATATAGCCACTGTTTGTGTTGTTGAAAAAAAGGTATTTGCAAGGAATAAGCCATTGGTCTTGCAACATTATATCATGTGATCTCCAGCAACATTTCTATCACCAAAGTCATATTTTCCAACTACCGGTGACTCTTCTTTGTTTCCATCTTTTGCATTCCAATCACCAGTGATAACTGATACAGCTTGATTGCATGCTCAGTCAGTTTCAGACTGCAGAAGTTGACAAAAATCTTCAATTTCTTCATCTTT